CGAGTCAGTCAGTCCGTAGGATGAGCGGTACTTGTGTTAATAACTGTTATAGTTCAATTAGTCTAATTCATTAGTAATTTAAAATCGATAGTTCAATTAATAATGCATTCACTTTTCATCCATTTTGGCGTTATATATTTTTGATAACATAAGAAAAATACAGAGGCATTACCTTAAACCGAGTGCTGTATCAAAGACAGGTATCATTGGGAAAGATCATGTAAAATGTTCTTCGAGATGATTTACTTTGAATTTCGGATATCGGAGTTCGGTGAGATATGACTAGATTTCTGCAGAATTAAATACATTCCGAATATCTTTCAACACTGTATTCAGTTTCTTTTAATACAAATAGATCATCAGATTCGAAAGTATCTGAACCAATCTTGTCCGCTCTCATCATTCGATTCGGAATTTTATTGTAAAAATCCGTTGAAATCTGACTACAGCCTATTTCAGATTCAGTATCTGCAATGTCTGGGAAGGTCTAATAACATCTTATTAATGAATTCGGCATGAATCGATCAGATATTTGCCGATAAAAATCAAGTTGGATCCGATTATTTCCGCTGAGAATCGCAGGATAGATCAAATCACTTACGGAAGTAATAGTGCTAAAAAATATTCACTGTTTTTTTTCTCTATTAGCTTCCTTAAATAAAGACAAGAAAGTCATTCCAATTATATACAACTTAACCAATGCTCGCATTCATTGTGTATTCCTATTTTTTATTTACTATTGATCCAATATTTTGTATTGTATCGATCATAAACAATATCCGCTTCATAGTTAAAAATTGTGCATATCGTCAAGGAAAAAACATATTATAATCATTAATTAAAACAAAACAAAAAAATTATGCACAAGTCGAATTTGCCGCAATCCAACTCGTACCCGTCGGACAAGCACATAGTCCCGCATTACAATAAAGCGTTAGAAGGCATGTATAATTCGCTGATGCTATGCATGCGCCATTATATGTAGCTCGATCAACTATTTCAAATACAAAAAAAAAAAATAAACAATAAAACAAAACTAATTCTCTACGTAAATCTTCATACCACATTGTTGTATAGTTGGATCATAATATTTTGTATTCGGACAATTGCAAGCATAATCTGGTAAATATTGAGAACAATTACAAACACCTGCAACTGTTGGACATATCAATGTTGGTATACAATCGCTATCTGATGCACAAACATCCGAATAATTAACACGTTGTACTAAATAAAACATTAAAATTAAGGTGGTAATGTTTTTTTTTTCTTGAATAAAACAAAAGAATTTATCATACAGCATGTTTCAAAATTTAGATTCCAATATTTAGTTGAATCACATTCACATCGACTATTATTAGAACAAGAAAGACCTCTTGTTGAATCACATTGATTTGAACCAATTAAACATGATTGATTATTTTTATATGCTGTTTCTATAGAAATCAAAATCATCATATATAGTTTTTAATGAATATAATATAAAATAAAAACTTACGACAAAGATTTGATGAATTTAAAAATGTTCCAGCTGGACAAACACAAGTTGATATATTCCATATTTTAGAATTTTGACATGTACAATTGCCCGTACAAATAAGTTCAATTGATGAATTACATTGACTCGATCCAACAGCACATGTATTACCATAAGTTAAAGTATTATTTAGAATAATTATACCTATTTTAAATATAAAGTATATGATTGCTATTTTTATTTCAAATTCAAATTTACATGTATTATTTGATGAACTCCATGAATGAGAACTGTCACATTGACAAATTTGACTTGTACAAGTAAGTCCTAATGATGAATTACATTGATTTGATGCTGAACAGATACGATTATATGTCAATAATGTGCCTGAAATAACGGTAAATTTATTAGATTTCTCTATCTCATTTAAAATCAATATTTACAAGTGCTAGTTGCTGTATTCCATGAATAAGGTGATGTACAAGAACAAAACCCATTTGAACAATAAAGACCTTGTGAAGACTTACATTGCTTTGAACTTGTTTTGCATATTTCATTGTATGTAAGAGATTCATCAACTGTATCTATTGCTATAATTAAAAATTACAATTAAATGATGTTGTTCTAAAATAAAAAATATTTACATTTTTGGCTTAGTGACACTCCTAAAACAGTTCCAATAATTATAGCAATAAGCACAAGACCACCGACAACAAAACAAATAATAATATTTCGTTGTTGTGTTTGTGTTGCTTTGAATACATCTTTCTAGTAAAAAAAAAAGTGAATTAGTTCAACACATAAAAAAAAAAATTTTACATTTTTTAAATTTGGATCCCATGATAATCGTCTAGTTGATTCTTCAAATATATAATCATCTGCTGGAATTTCTATCACTTCAACTTGATCTACGAATTGAATATTTCTCTGCGCAACTCTTGCTGATTTTTGCATAGTTATTTCTTCATCTAATCGTTAAAACGGAGAAAAAAAAAACATTCTTGCCAGTTTCTTTTTACTAACTATTCGATTGTAATATTAAAGAGAGTAAACAATTTTGCTTTCGTCAATCAGCTCTACATAAAAGATTTCAAAATGAAACGATAAATCAAAATGAAGTTATATTTGTTTTTGTCATGAAGAATAACAACGTAAAGAAAAGAGAAAATTTTGAAATAGTACAAGTACGTATAAAAAAAATACCATAAGCAATGAAAAGAATCTGAATTATACTTTCTCTTATTTACTTATGACGAGACATTCAGTTTTATTCAATCGTCTGATTAACATGTGAATCGTTTCATACTTAGAAACATAATTTATTTTGAAAATTATCAAAAACATTTTTTTGCATCGTGATGAACAGTTTCGATCGATCATACGTTTGAACATGATAAAAAAAGCAAACATGCTTTAACTCGTTGTTTAGCATGAACCCTTTGGCGTTAATAGCAATCCATATTTTTGCATAGTAGTGAGAGATAAATGTTTTAAACAAAATGGTAATCACAGATGAAAGTTGATGCACAGTACGCCGACAGCGGTTGAATTTTTGTATTACTGTAGTCTTCCGTCAGTGTTGGTGGCTATGATTATGGTAAGTTTTGCTGACGGCTCTCAGATAATTGACTTACATCTCTGATTCTGATTAAATCAATAAATCGATAATCGACATTAGAGATTCTTCATAATGCTACATTATTGAGTTCAAAAAAACATTCATAGATAAATTTATTTGACAATTGTAAAATTCTTATGATTATATTCAATTTGTAAATATTGATCAATAAAACAAAAATAAGGATCTAAAATAGAAGAGGTATTTTCTTTTCATATTAATGAAATGTATTCATCTATATTTATACAGTCACTTTGCTCAAGTGAGCAATTCTGTTAATTTATTAAACAAAAGTTAACAGCATTCTTATTACAAACTTACTGTTATTACGCATGTGTTTGTATAATTATAGGCGTAAAGCCTTGTTTATGCACACGATAAGATTTCATATCTCATTATATATACTAAATAGCTTTCTTTTTTATTGGTTCAGTTTATTTGAACATGATATTTTAAACTATTTAGTTAAGTTTTCAACAATAAAACATGTCGCATATACGATAGTCGTAACAATATTATCAAGTTGTTGTTGAAGTCCACCTTGTGATTTAGTACCTCAGTTCTTTCTTTTGTGTCGGCTTATCATTTCATTTTATTTTTTTGAATATTTGATATTGAATCATTCAATATGAAGTTTATAAACTGTAGATATAATGAAAGATTCAAACTCACTTATAAATATAACTTGAACTAGTTTTTTCAAGATACTTTTCTGTGACATACAATTTAGATCTTATTATCACATTTGAATGTGATGTAAGATCTCCTGATTATATTATTTTGATCATGTTGACAAAAATATTTTCACTCAATTTCTCACTTGAAAGTTCAATGTCTCAATAATATCTAGTCTGTGTTTAGTTAGAAATTTCTTTAAATTGACTGAGACATTGTCTTTTCATGTAGAAATACTGTTGAAATGCAAACGTTGGTTTTTAGTACAATAGATCTTTTTTACGATGAATCCAATCAATACATTTGAAAACAGTTTCAGACTCAAAAGACCGAATAGAACTCGAGTCGATGATACAACATGGATTTACTATCTCAGCACTTGGTTACTATTTAGACCTTGACTAAATATCACAGGTTTTTGTGATAATAAAGTAGACATATAAGACTACATTTAGCGCTAGGAAAATGATAGAGTAAATTGTGGAGTAGCCAAATGCCATTAGTAAATATGAATTAATAGATGTGGGACCCATACTTGCCATCATAATGTAGGTGCGTCAATGTTGGTGGATGGATTTGAATGTGGATAAAGAGAAAATAGTATGCCACATGTTCACTTCCACACCCACACCCAAAGTTTTCCTGTCAGCTAAGCCTTTTAAATGATGATTGTTTTTGTGGCGCCATCTTTGATAAAAAATCAATCTGAAAGTCTAAGCGAAAATAGCCGCTGTAGCTTGTATAGGTTGTTGAAGTGCACTCATAGTAGCTGAAAAGCGTGATTTCGAGTGAAATCTATCATTCTTTTAAGAGTTACAAGATATTCATTCAGCAAGATAGAAAAAAAATCAAGCGGAGAAACCGAATGGTAAATCACTAGTTTTCAACTGGTTATTGCGACATTGTTACACATATCATTCTAATATCACGGAGTATCAACATGACTGCTTATCAAAATTCGAGTTGCAAAGCAAAGAAAACTGCTTCAATGTAAGTAATTCGTCCTATGAACTCAAGGTATTTTTTAATTATTCAGAGTTGTCATTCCTTTACTTTTTTACTCATTGATAAAAAGAAAAAAAATCCTCTTATGAATCATTTCTTGCATATATAAAAAAGCATATTTTGTTGTTGTTTTTTTATTCGCACCTTGTCATTCAACACATAAGCAAATCATACTTCTTTGACGCTTATCTTTTTGTAGGTTTTCATTATTTAATAACCTGCAAGATGAATCGACTTTTTGGTCAGTCAAAATCCAATGCTGTACCTAAACCAACATTAAATGACACAGCAGCAACACTTGATTTACGTGTTGAAACAATCAATAAACAAATCGCTTCCATAGACCAAGGTGAACTTATGAAAATAATTTTTTCATATAAAAATTGTTCTCTCTTTAGAATTACAAGCCTATAATAAATTACCCCCAGCTAGAAAAGTAAAATTTTATTTCTTACATACAAATAAATATTTTTCTAAATCTTTAGGCAAGTCAAAAATCTCGAGCATTGGGTCTTCTCAGTAAAAAGAAAATGTAAATAACTTAAATTATTTGACTTATTTTATAAATAAATTACTTTAGGTATGAAAGACAACGTATGACAATAGAAGGTCAAACTGCTAATATTGGTGCTACCGCTTTTGCTGTTAGTAATATTTCAACACAAAAAGAAATGGTAGAAAATTTTTCATTATTGTTTATATAATTTATATTAATATTATTTTAGTATAATGGATTAAAAAATGCAAAACAAGAACTTGCCAAAGGTTATAAAGATTTGAAAATTGAGAAAGTTGAAGTAAGTTATTTAAGTCATTAATATTTTTCTTGTAGTCTATTCAATGAATTCTACTAACACTTCGATTTCAAAAAAAATTAACTAATAATTATTTTTGTTACATCTATTGTAGTTTGTAACTGTTTATATATGATCAATAGTCTAAAAATTAAATTGATTTTCATTAGATCTTGAAAATTTAACTTAATTTCTCTAAAACTTTGACAAAATAATACCGCAAAAACTTCTCTATGCGAGTACCTCCTTATACTGGAAAGTCTTTAGTTCGTACAAGCAAATTTTGCTAGATATAAGCCTCTCAGATACGAGCACTTCCTTATTCTGAATAGTAGGTCCTTATTTCTGGTCCGATGAATAATAGCAACTATACCGTATCGCCCACGTACAGAACGAGAAAAAAATAGTTTTATGTGTATTGCGTTATGAAAAATAAGCATGCAACATAGGCAGAGAAGATGGACTAGCTGTAAATATGCAAAAGAGAAAACAGTAATATTAGACAACAACAACAACAACAACAGTGCTTGATTTAAGATCTTGTCTTTTCTGTGATAATAACTAGTAACATCAAATCATGTTGACATATTCTAATTTTCATCTAATTAAAAGAAAACTGAATCAATAAATCATTGAAGAGAAGAAAAGGATCACCTTGTGTAGCCGCTAAGCGATTGGAATTGAGCACAAAAGGTTGCAAAAATAATGAGTACTTATGACTGATCTGATGATGCTCATGTTAGAAAGATTTCACTACATTGGTAATTCATGATGTAATAGAATTTCTAAATGAGCTATACGAAGAACATCATTCAGAAAGAAGCAATTTTTCATGTCAAAATATAGCTTGCAGTTTTGACGAACAACAATAAATCTAGTTTGATTAACTAATGGATTCTATTTTAAACCATCTAAGTACATCAATCATATTGAGATAGATTAATCGATATTGTTCACTTCAAATTGATGATTCATCAATTTGTAACTATTCATCACATAACTTACCTGCGTTCTTCATCTATAGGTTTACAAAAAGCAGAAAAAGTTTAAAAAATGGCTTGAGTATTTTTTCCATCTAGTTGCACTGAAAAACTAAAAGAATCAGTGTCACGCAATTTGGCTGAGTCAAAGTTTCGCCGATGCAGGTTCTTCATTTGTTGCTCTTGTTTTTCGAATAATGTGAGATTCGTTATGTGTTCATAATATTTATTTTTTCAACGATGTACAACAAAACATACCCGACTCACATGATTCAACAATGAACGTGACACATCGGTCTGCTGTTTCGTTGCACTACGAACAATTACGATAAGCAAGGTGCCATATTGCTGTTAAATACTAATCGATATTCTATTACCTTCCAAGTTTCAAAATTGTTTTAAATCACAAAATTTTAACATATTTTTTGTTTCGTTAGATAGTTTCACGATTTACATAAAATAATGGATTTTCAAGAATATCTCACTTTAGATTCTATTGCATCACAAGAAAACTTATAAATATTGTATTATTGATCAATACTTTATTCTATAGTAAATTTTCGACCATGAGATTGTAAAATTTATTGGTTATTGTGAAACAAGATTTAATAGAAATTTTCCGGTGGTGAGATGAACATCTGAACGCTTCCCTCACAGATCGTGACAAACATAATTATAGTACCATCGTCGACTTGATAGAATTCGACACGGAAATAAAGCCTTCTTTGCAATTGCTATGAAAGAAGATTGAATTAAAGATATCTATCTTTGAACCCTTTTTCAAATTGACTATAACAAATAACGAACAATATCTTTCGTCACAGAGATATCAGTGAATTGGAAGTAGAGCTGTTCATGATAGAGTAGAGTAAAGATTAGAAAATTTCTCTCAATTAGGCTACAAGATACGCGAAAAGCTTATCCTACACATCTTTAACGCAATTTTTTTTGTTATTTGTCACTTTTAGCATCTTCTGTCATAGGTAGGATAAAGGGAGAGTGAAATAAAAGTTTGATAAGGGTTAGAAAATCTTTCTCAGTCAGACTACAGGATACCAAAAAAGCTTACTATAAATATCTGTAGTAAGAAGATCCAAACAGAAGCATACCTTAAAGAATCCTTTGATTTATAATATATGTAGATCAATCTTGTTTCATGATTTAATCTTGTAGCGATTGTCTGTCGTTGTTGTTTCTTAACAATATATTTAGTTTTCATTTTTAGGCAGGAAATAAGTTTTATTGAAAATGATTTCTTCTTTTTGTTTTAGGCTCTTATGGATGATATTGATGATCAACTTCTTGACCAAGATGAAATGAATGAAATGTTTAGTAGACCTATTGGTCAAGATACATATACGACTGATGCTGATCTTGAGAATGGTATTTTTTAAGAAGTCTCTTTTTTTTTTATTTATCAAATTTGAATCTCTTTACAGAATTAGCTGGTCTTGCTTCAGAAGAATATGATATTCAACCAAATGCAATATATGATCGTTTCTCTGCACCTAGTGTTCCTGTTCAACCTATTGATACTGGAAATCAAACAGGTCTAACAACAAAAGTCAGTATTTCTCATCTTCTTCTTATTTTTAATACTCATTTTTTATATTTCTACCAGAATGATATTATGGTTGATGAATTTGGTTTACCAAAACCTCCAGCAAGTGGAATGAAAAATTAAAAACAAATATTTGATTTTTATTTTTACAACTAATATAATTTTATAATTAAAAACATTTTTTCCAACATGACATTTTTCCCACAATAGACCATCTAATACATCGACATTTTCCTGAACAACATTGATAATCAGATGAACAAAAATTATTTGTTAAACGACAAGCCTCTTGACTTGAGATAGTTAAATGTGTACCAGGACCACCATAAGAATAATAGTATGAAGATGATATTGGAGCTGTGAATGATGGTGGATGATCAAGATCACGAATATCACGTGCAAATTGATCGAAATGAAAACGACGAGATTGAATAAATGTTGGAGATCTTTCACGATAACGTGATAATTTATTTAATTCTTGAGAATATTCTTTTGCTGAATTAACTCGTGATGTTAATGGATTAACATTGAGAGTTGCAGGTCGTATACGCCCAGAAGATAGACCATGAAGTTCACGAGCTATAAAAAAAAACATTTTCTAATGATGAAATCCTTGATAAATTGAATTATTTACCTGCATCAAGTTGCCCTTGATTTATTAATATTATAAAAAAAGTAATGAATAGAATTGTTTGTATCATCTATTCTTTTTTTTCAACAGACACAATACCTGTACAATAAAATTGCTTTTTTTCTTCTTCTTCTCGATAGCACCCAACGTTCACAGAACGTGTACGAGGTCAAAATATTACCGTCGATATGATTGAGAACAGGTCATCTGTTCTTCTTTTCTCTCTCTCTTGCTGGTGAATTTTTTTTCTTTTTGTTACTTCAAATGATCACAAGCAAGTCAAGTATTTGATTAGTGTTCCTCTTAGGAAAAAACAAATTAATAATTGGTCCAACGATAATATATCTAAGTTTAAGAAAGTATTGGACAGAAAATAAAATCATTTGAATTGTTTAAAAAACGGATTATAAATTTCAAACAAATCTATATGTTTTTTGTGTTATATGAAGGTTTCTTTTGTTGTTGATTCTCCCCTTGTGTATTGATGATTTTTTGTTTAAGTAAAATCCAAAACTGAAAGTTAGGCTAATGTAGGAATAGTTGCCGATTCAGTTCCTTTTCAATTCGTTCACGATTAGTCGTTTATAAAAAAAGGCAAAAAAACGAAGTTGAAATGTATTCAATCACAGCTTGATAACTACGAACAAAATACAGCAAGATAAAATGCTAGTTGTCATCTTTCAGACTTTTGCTGAACGTCAGTTCTCGTGATCTTGTTAGGATAGCCATTACGTAATAGTTCAGTGCGATAAAATCAAAAAAAAAATCGAACGAATATTTTTTACTATGAAAAATAGTCGCGAAATCCTGAATAATAGAACAAAATCTAGAACTTCCAGGTGTAAATGTATAACTGACAGTAATTAAATCGATGTGATTAAGTTATGTGATTCAAGCAAGTTATACAAATATAAAAAGAAAAAAAGTAGCATTTCAGAAGTTATAATCAAGTCTGCCAAACAGTTGTAAACAGAAGTATTAATGACCGCGCCAGACGTGAAGAGGGGTTGATGTAAGTGCAATAACTCGATAACGGTAACAGCTAGCAATCTGCGATTTTCACAAATTGAAAGGGAAGAAGTTGGGATATATTTTCTCCCGATAATGTATCAGACGAAATCCTTTTAAAACTGATCATCGCCGAAAAACATGTAAAATAAACCATCCAAATGACTTGTCATCTAGATGAAATTTTGATTTTAACCTCTGATTTAGATAGAGGGACTTCATATATATAGTTCAATATACGTATCCGTGTTTTTTATATTCGATGCTCAATCAGTCATTACGAATCATGGAGGTTGATCTCATCATCCGCATGGGATTTCTTATTCGCGACCCCCACAATCACATCGTCGACCATCATAAGAAACAATTTATTGAACATACACATAAGAAATGGTTTACTGTCTTTCGTGATCAAGGATTATCGAAAGACGACTTTGATCGAATGGTAAAGACACAAAGTAGCCTTTTGTTATTTAATAATTTCTTATCGACCAGCACGAAAGAGCAAATATCCTTGAATTTTGCTTGTCAACCCATTGCAACGTCCGATCTTGTTGGTATGGTATTCGTCATGACAATTCGTCCATCGATTTTGTCAACACCATTGGCTAACGTCAGTGATGTCAGTTATTTCAAAGAAGAAGAAGAAGAAATTCTCTTCTCCATAAACTCCATTATTCGTATGGATCCAATGAAACAAATCGATGAAAATAATCGTCGTTGGCAAGTCGACTTAACGTTGACTAGTGATAACGATCCAGATCTCAATGCTCTTACTGAACGAATGCGAGAAGAGACCTATCCTGAGAAGGAAGGATGGGATCATCTAGGTAATTTATTGATTAAACTGGAACAGTTCAACAATGCTGAAGAGGTATATGATATCCTGCTTCATCGAACAAGGACTGATGCAAAAAAGGCATTAATGAATCATATGCTTGGCATGGTCAAAGATGATTAAGGTGAATATAAAGACGACGTTGCTTATTATAAAAAATCCATTGCAATCCACGAGAGGATTCTCTCACCGACGAATTTCAATTTGGCGGCTTCTTACAATAACATTGGTTCGGTGTATGACAACATGGATGACTATTCGAATGCACTTACATCTCATCAAAAAGCACTGGAGATCTTCCAATTTTTCATGCAGACGTAAACGTCATGGGATTAACAGCTATTGAATTGTCAAATCATGAATCCCTATTTTGCTATAGATAAACCATTTGTATGAACGTATGCTCATAAAGACCATAATGCTAAAAGTTAAGTATTATATACAAGTGTTTTGTTCGGAAGAATAAAAATTGCGAACGAATGCCTGAGAGTATTTTTAGATGCATTATGAAAAATTATTTTATTACAAGTTAGACTCGTCCTAGAAATTGCTGTTTCTCGTAACATCGAATGCACAATTGAGTTATGAACAAAATGGTGCATGCATTCTTTTTTTTCAGTGCTTCGACATTTTCTATTTCAAAAGTTTCCTCTCAAATACTTGTTCTAGCATTTTAGAAATTATATCAGAAGATGCAGAATTATGTGTAATTAGAATATTATCGCATATTTCAAATTTCAGTAGATTCGTTTCTAAAAATTCTCTATAATTGTTTCGTTTTTTTTTAACTTTCGTACTGATACAATTGATTAGATGTTAATCTTGTTAGTGTTTTGTAAAACTTACTGAAGAAGAATGAAAACTCATACTAAAGATTGTAAAACGTTTGGATTATATCAAGACATCTATCTTCCTGACATAGTTCGAACAACTTTCTAGCAACTAACCGTTCTCTACAACATCGCGACACAAAGTATAGAAGCCGAATGAGTACGTGAAAGACTACACAAATGCTATGCTTGGCACCGCATTATTTAAAAATAAAGATGGTTCAAACAAGTCCATGACAGAGGCAGGCTTCCCGATTAGGGGGGGGCTGAGGGGGTCTAGCCCCCCCGAAACTTGAAAAACTGTCCGACTTTCTGCGAAAATTTCTTATACTTTCTGCCATTTTTTTTGAAAATTTGGTAGTAATATCTGGCAGAAACTCAGTTTTTAAGCACTAATCACCATTTTTCTGGCAGAAAGTCGAAGGACAATACTTTCTGTCAACAAAATCTTGCAGAAAGTCGATCAAATTAGCATTTGTTGTTTAATTTCTGCCGGAAAGGCAACTGAGACACTTTCTGCCAAAATTTTTGGACTTTCTGCCGAATTTTTAGCCCCTCCCACTTTTCAAAACAATCGGGAACCCTGGACAGAGGAGAAATTGTGAAAATACTAAGAATACAATTATTAATAGCCAACCCGTTATCGTTGTTAATAAAGAAAAAAAAATACCTTTATCTACCATCAGCGACTCTCAAAAATGTAATTGTCGCACGATCAGGTGCAAGAACAGCACGTTAAAGAACAGATACCTACAATGTAGAGGCGCTACTGTCAAAAGTTTCTAATAATACAAAATATCCCATTTTTTATTCGATACGCACTTATCCGATAAAATAACTGATAGATAAAAACAACCTTATTCAAAGAATTGACGCATTATCTTTCTATATACAATGGTATTAGAATTGCTACTTTATACATTTTTTATTTCAATCATCTTTTCTCTTATATTTATATATTGGAAATTTATTCGTCCAACAAAATATATCTATGATATACTTCGAAGCCAAGGTGTACGATCTGAACCTTTTATACCCATTATTGGTCAATTACCAGAACTACGTCGTTATCGTGAAGAAGGTCGATTATTAGGATATCATCAAAAATTAACCGAAAAACATGGATTAGTCTATTTATTTTTTCTTGGTCCATATACACGTCTTGTTATACAAGAACCTGATTTAATAGCTGATATTGTTGGTAGAACGTCTGCTCAAAATTATATTAAACCAGCTGATCTTAGTGTTCGTCTTAAACCACTTATTGGTATACATAATCTACTAGTTAGTAATGGACTAGAACATGATCGAGCACGAAAAATGCTTAATCCAGCATTTCATTTTAATAATCTTCAATCCATGGTTTCTATTATGACATATCAAACAACAAAAGCAATTGATATACTTCTTGAATCATCATCAACAATTAATTTGGCAACACTTTTCAATAACTTAACATTATCTATAATTGCTTCAAGTGCATTTGGTAGAAGTTTTGAAACAGTGTCAAATGCAAGAGATATTATTGCTCATGTATTTACTGAAGTATTAGCAGCTATTGCTTATCGTGCTTCACGGATGATTATAATAATTCCTATTATATCACAATTACCGTTTTGGCGAAAGAATATTGTTGATCAAGGTACTCGAGAACTGAATAATTTTGTTGATCAAATTATAACTGATAGAAGACAAGGACGATCACAAAGTTTATGTGCCGGTGCAGATATTCTTGATTTACTAATTTCTGCTATTGATACTCAAGGACAATCATTTACTGATCAAGAAATAAAAGATCAAGCGTTAACATTTGTATTAGCTGGTCATGAAACAACAAGTAATTTAATGGCATGGGTTATGTATGAATTAATGAAAAATCCTTCTGTATATCAAGCTTGTCAGAATGAAGTTGATCGAGTATTACCAAACGGTATGATTCCAACTTATGAACATCTTAATGATTTATACATCATTGAAGCTGTTCTTCAAGAAACACTTCGTTTATATCCTCCGGCACCATTTTTTATTCGACAATGCATCAACGAACAAATAATTGGATGTACAACTAATCATCCATTGCGTATTCCATCTGGAACTACAATATTGATTAATGCATATGCAGTTCATCGTCGATCTGAATATTGGTCACGACCGAATGAATTCGATTATACACGTTGGTTACGTGATCCAATAACTGGTTTAAAACCAAAATTAACTCATCCATATTGTTATTTACCATTTGCTGCTGGACCACGAAATTGTATTGGCCAAAATTTTGCATTATTAGAAGCTAAAGTGATGTTAGCAATGTTTGTACAAAAATGTGATTTTGAATTAGAACCAGGACAAAAAATAATTCCTGAAATTCGAATTACTATGAGACCAAAATATGGTTTATTTGCCAGAATTACTAAAAGACAATAATATTGTTTTTTGTACTTTTTTTTTTAATTTTGAGTAAAAGTAAAAATGATTATAAAACATATAGGACAATGACAACGACATACTGGTCTAAACTATCAACATATGATAATTCTCGAGTGCAATTTTTTCATTTGAGAATTGCTTAGTTCTTATGATTTAATCATATTTTATAAAATTCAGCTATTTTCTTGAAATGGACTCCCCTTCGACCGACAGAGTAGAATATTTGTGTTCTGTTTTTTTTTTGTCTGGACCAGTCACTGCTGCAATTATTAATGAAAAGAAAAAGTTGTTTTTTGAAGATGAAAATCTTTAAAACACAAATATGTGGAAGATAAATTAAACTTATCACATGAAATGTAATGAGATTGTCTATGTTGGTATATATGTTGTATTTGAATTTTCTAATTACATTGTATAGAGAAGATCATATCTCGAAAAATCTTTATGTACTTCTTAAGATTTTGAATTTGAAAATTGAACTATATCGAATTCAACTAAATATTGGGCTTGGAAACAATTGGAAGATACGAAATTTAACAGAAGATATAGTTAAATTTAAACAGATTCTAAGAAGATTATTTCAATTCTTTCAAATCTGATACTTGCATCATAGCGAATTAAATTGAATATGATCGGTGGAAAGAAAACAGAAGTCATATGTGGATACGGAAGAAGAAAATAACACTACTCCTACGCACACTCTGCATTCATTATATCATAGCTACGATCAGTTTATTTGATGAAAGATTATTTTGCTTCCACAATATTGAAAAGCTGACGAAATCACTCATCGATCATTCAATGTTTCTATTTCGAACAAATTGATTATTCGTTTTTTCCTAGTTAGACTTATGACGACTGTCTTATTATACTTCTCAATCAGCAATAGATTTTTTTGTTAGTTAATAAAAATTCAGTAAACATACGAGAGAGAACAAAAGAAAAAAAATCATGACGAAAAATAATTCATTTGTTATAAAAGCAAATGTACATTATAGTTATAAATAAAAATAAAATGCATTTTTTTCACTATTCTTTTTTTTCCAACTAATATTCGTTTTTTTCTTTTCTTGGAAAAAACCAAATTATTAAATTGAAATCTTTTCAATTTAAATTCAACTTGCAAAACTTTTACAATTCATTTAAAACAAACTATCTCTCAGTTTAGCAATGTGTTATTACTCTTTTGATCAACCACATGACAAAGACAAATATATTCTCAGGGCTGTTAGTATTGTTGGTTTCATTGCTCTTATTCTGCTATGTGTTGGCTTAGGTCTTCCATCTTGGTATGTTGGTTATAATCTGAATACAAAATCAATTGTGGCAACAGCTAATTACTTTTCTACATGTCATTTATCTGAAGATCAAGCTTCGACAACAACACTTACATGTGTTAGTTTTTCTTCGTACTTATGTAATGAAGTTATACCAATTGGATGTCAGAATGCAACAAGACTTGGATGTATTAATCCAATAAATAGTTCAAAATTATATCAATATCTTGATGCTCCTATTACTTATATATCACATGAAGATTTAGCACGATTACGTGCTTCAGGTGGAATAGCTATTGTTGGTATTATTATTTTAACAATATCGACTAGTCTGATATTATATTTAAGTTGTGGTTGCATTTCTTTTGGTCTACTTTACGTTCCATTGATGCTTCTTTTTATATCTGATGTTTTTCTTGTCACATCTCTTGTGACAGGTTCATTAGTTATTCGTTATTATCATGTTGGTTGTGGTTTATTTGTTACAGGTACAATGATTACATTTCTTTTTACAGTTGTCGGTGCATTTGCTGTGGGTCGACTTGAAGCAACAAGAACAGCGAGAATAGAAATTGAACAGCGAGCACAACAGTATGAAATAAGACCAAATTATAAATAATAATGTTCTATGATCGCGTTTTTTTTTTCAATTATTTAATTAAAATAACTGCGTATATCGTTTTATACTTAAGAAATTATCTTATTGTGCTTAGAGATTGGTTCTAGTTTCTAATAGCAGAAATAGAAGTCGTATGTTGACGTCATGATGTTTGTTTTGTATCATCATAATGATCATCTAATATTACAATGAGATCGATGAACGTTGTTTCATCACTAAGCAATGATCGTGATGAAACAAATGATTCTAGAAAATTGCAGATCGCATCTTCAACTGACCAAAAAGAAAAATTGCTATCTTGTCATTATTCATGTTGATGTAATAATGATAGAAATGCCAAGTAATAGTGCAAGAATCGAAGATATAGTTGCAGATTGAAGTATCATTGATATCTATTTAGACATAATAGTAGACTATCAAGATTAGTAATGCAATTGATAAACGAAATTGAAGAGAAAAAACAGTCTTATTGCTAATGTAAGTTTTGTTTAGTTTGTGAACGTGAGTTAAGTCTTATTGAATAACACTAATAACAAAGTAGATATGAGGAGAAGAACAATGTAAAGAATATACATATGTATGACTGACACATCAAAGAAAGGAATAAACTAATTCATAATGTGCTAGAACATGGGAGAGAAAATGTCATTGTAATATGTTCTATAACTTGGAGAGAGTAAACCAACATATAATATGTTTACGTATATTGGATAAATCTCTAACAATTCTAAATAATAAAAGAAAAATATTCACATAACGTAGTTGAAATGTAAATATTTTAGAAAAAGTAATTAAGATTGAATTAAAAATTGTGACAAAACTATTTATACTATTTTTTTTTTGTTGTCTCAAAAAAAAATATCGTTACATCATCTAGTATTTACATCATTGTTGACTGAGAATTCAATTTTTAATAGTCATCTATTTATTAGATGGAAAAATTTTCTATACGATTTTGACAATGATGAGATTTTTCGTTTTTAATGGTTTCAAAGAAAAAATCTAATTGTGATGCCATTAATTGTACGTAAACACAAGAGACACTTTTACACTACAGTGTAGCCTAAGTTCTTTGTAGTAGACATCCTACGAACTTTTCAAAAAGTATCCATACTCTATCATGCATTGTATCATATTTACAAGATTAAATTAATTTCATTAATGTCTAATCAATAAAATATTGCCAATCATCAGTTTATTGAATTTTTGACGAATCTATTTCTCCTGTTGATAATCTCTTTGAAATAATTAACCATAGGAACCGAACCAATCATTTTGTCTAGATTACTAGGAAACTCATTGTATGACTATAGTGAGGCCTACCTGAATATTATGCCTAAAACTTTTTAAGAGTTATCTTACGGCAATATTTGTTACTCTGTAAAGATTATTTAGGTATCATAATTGTGACTTACCAAAGCTATGTGGAAATACAATGCATAGATTAGGATTTTTCTGGCATAAGGCTTAGAGATGTTCGATGCATTGGACTTCTTCGAATATACTATGACCTTATCAACTTCACGAAGAAAAGTGAATCTATCGTCTATAAAATTTGATTATTGTTGAAACATTATTGAGATACTTGAAAACCTTGTCTACCTATTCCTAAACAGCATCGGAAGTTTATTAAATCATATCTGAGTATACGAATTACATATACAACAAGTCCTTATGTCGAATACTTGTTTTTCGAAATTCATCAGCTCCATTTATTTCTTGATATCTCAACATATCTGATCAGGTCGAAAATAGACGTTTCTATTTTTCAAATCTGATTGGCTTTGACTAGAATCGGTAAGATTCAGCACCTGAATATAAGGACAAAAACACTATGCGTAATCGGACTTCATTACTTGTTCTCCAGTCAAATTTTCTGGCTTTATATAATCGGATTTGAAGCTTGTATGAGAAGATCTGATTTAGTATGTTTGACTTGAAGGGAGTGCTTTTTCTGAGATTGAAAAATATCTCATCCCTTCTTTTCATTAAATTCATTTTTTCTATTAATCTGAAGTTTCTATTGACAAAAGAAAGTCATTGTGTCATGCTATACAATCATTAACATGATTCTGATTATCAAATTATCGAGAAAAAATACACTTTTTTACATATTCATCGTTGCGTTGCTTTTTATAATGCATAAATATGATAGGATTCATTATTTTTTTTTCTTTTTCAGATGAAAATTTATTCAAATTCGTATTTTCATCTTACTCGTCTTACTTCGAAATAACAGTTCATTGACGTATGGAAACATTGAAAAACATCCATGATAATTATTTAATTAAAAAAAACAATTATTCTCCTTGAATTCTGTACATTTCGTGGAAATTACATTATATTTTTCGACGAAAAATATAGTGAATGTAAGTTTCAAGTCAAAATTTTTCGGCTCTTCTTCTCCTTCATAGTAACAAGAATTAAAAGTTCGAGACTATTGAGTATGTTGTTTGGGAAGAAGGTAGCCTAATGATTATTGTGTATCTTTCTTTAGTGAATGAAGACAACAGGCATCACACTCATTTTTCAGAGCTTTCTAGTTACAGAAAAAGGCTTCAAACAACATCAACAACAAAATATAGACTGTTCTAAAACATTGTCAAGTCTTCCTTGATATTTGAATGGATAGAATACATTTCGAAATATTCTCAATAATGTAGTTTTTCATTTTTGCGTAAATAAAAATTTATATTCAAGATGTGAAAAATGATGAGTTGTCATAGGATTAATATAGAAATGCGTGACCTAATCAAGTTGATTAATACCAATACTTCTGATCTTAGGGTGTTGAAACATACTGCAAATATAATGGATATGTACAACAGGCTTATTTGTCATTAATATCAATTATTAGAATACTAATAATTGAAGAAAACGTTAAATGAAAAAAAAAACAAAGATAACTAGCGATTAGTAACAAAGCAAAGAAAAACTATATATAGTGCGAGTAAAACATAGAAAACATTTCTGTTGGATTATCTTTGGCAAATAAGTATAGTCTACTAGATATTTTTCACTTGATATATTTTGTATTAGTATGATGAGTCCAAATAATTCATGTAAGTTTCATAGTTTAGCCCTTAAGGAATGTTGTTAAGATGCTTTTTTTACATCAGATAGGTAGTTTTCTTCAAAAAATTTTCTATTTTATTTTATCACATATCATCATGATCTTCTTCATGTGCCCTTTTTTTTTTGTCTTAATCTCTATGTATGAATACTATTTATAAAGTAAAACATTTAAAAATAATAGAAAAACACGTTATTCTCTTAGAAAATCTTATTCTTGAGTTTATAATATTCATTTTTTTTTTCAATAGATTGAGTTGGAAAAAAAAACATGAAATATATGATAATCTGAAATTCTTAATCTATATTTCTAAACGTTGGCAGGTTAGATAGACATAGATTATTAAGAATAATTGTCGGTTTGCTAAGACTATTAATAATATCTGTACAATAGCAGAAATGTATATTTTTCTATAAAGCAATGTATCGTATTAATTTGATTCTTTCATCACTTGAATTAGTTTTAATTAAGATCAATTATATGCCATAGATAAAGCTTCTTAATGATAAGTTTTAGTCATATAATCTAAAACAATATATGATATAATAGAGAAACGACAGAACAAAAATTAGTATTAAACTAAAATAATCGTATGAGAATGAAACAAAATAATCTTTGAAAGCACAAGTCTTTTTTTAATATAATATGTTTTCTATAATGAATATACTACTTACTTTATATCTGCACCAAACAATTCGACTAAGACCTGAATTCTAAAAAAGGTGAAAATTATTTTTCTTTTGGACCATCATGTAGAATGTAATGATCGTAGATAAATTACATTGTATAGAACAAAAAGAATCATTGTACTACTTATTATTTACCAACGCAAACAGCGCTGTTTCTCTGATGATGATGATGATGAATTACTACTTAAAAAACATTGAAAAATGTCTATCATTTGTTTTTACTATATACAATAGAAACCGAAGTCATTTCCGGTGATGAAAATATGATCGTTTAGATTATTCCGATTTTTATTATATTAAACTCATTTTTTGAAATCAAACTTCATTGATGAAGTTCGATGTTTATGATTGATATTAAAAAAAAAAGAAATGAAATTAATATATTTTTCTGAATAATGGAAGTATTTTTTTTATTAATAAAGAAAAGAAAAAAGAAAAATGAAATAAATTTTCGAATGTTTCTTAATATTATTGAATTATTATTATAATATTTGTATTTTTTCTGTGGAATTATCTTTACCAATCTTCAATTGAAATTGATTTTCTTAAACCTTCATGACATTCAACTTCATCAACAAATATTGTATTTGTTTTTGTTTCAATATCTTTTTCTAATATTAATTTATCACGATCCAAATTACGAAGACGAACATGTGATTCATCCAAACTATAATATAAGAAAAAATAAGAATTAATGATCAAAAAAGAAATCTTATATCTATGTCAAGATCTCGCCTCAATTCTCATATTAACATTTCCACATTTGTATCGCCTATTCTTAATCTACTTTTTTTCTTTTCATATATATATATATATATCAAGAAAACAGAGATGATGGTAAGTGTATGATTATGCTTTTTCTTTTTTTCTTACATACCGTTCTTGAAGTCGTTGTATTTCACATTCAATTTCTCGTATTTCTTCAATAAGACGTTTTTGTGGTGCATCATAAACAAGTTCAACATTAGGTCGTTTATGACGTATATCAAGACGTGTATGAGCCAATTTTAAGTATTGTTCTTTATCACGTATAGCTTTTTCAGTATTTTTTATACTTTCTTCAAGTTGATCAATAAGTAAATGAACCTTTAAAAATAAATGATTTTGTTTTTGAAAGTTAAATTTATTTTCAATTTACATCACGTAATTGATTTTCTAATGTCTGTTTTGCTTGTTTTGATTCATAAATACGTCGATCAAATGATCGTCGTGTTTTTTCAACAGCTTGTTTTATATCAGCAACAAGTTTTTTCAATATACCATCAATTACATTACGTAATTGTACAGCATTAAGTCGTTGTGCTTCAGCATTTTTAATATTTTCATCAGAATATTCTTCCCAAAACGGTTCCGATACCGAACTAATTATTCATAATTAAAAACAGGCAACAACAAGAAAAAAAAAAAAACTTCTACTATACTGATCTTATTTTGTTAAGAAAAAAAAGAAGAAGAAAAAAAAAAGAGAGAGAGAAAGATTCTTTCGTCATAAAAGCTATAATGACTGGCAGACAGTCATGTTTTACTTCCTTGAATACATATACCCATGGGCGTTTTTTTTTTCTCCCTATCTACATCAACTAAAAAGTTTTGAGTCGTATGTGATAATTCTTTTTCATAATAGCATATATATATATATCTATAAATATATACATAAAAACTAATGCTAACATACCGAGGATTAACATGTGTAACACCTTCTTTAAGATAAAGTGATGGACTTGTTAAACTTAAATCAATGGCATGTTCATCAATTGATTGAGCTGTAAATTTGTCTTTAAGATCTCGATCAAGTAAATAGCGAGCTTTGCGCATCAATCTATAGAAAAAGAATAGAATACAATTATGTTCCTATTCAATTTTCCCGAAAAAAAAAAAAGATGAAGAAAGGCGTAGCCGGAATCGATCAATATAGTCGAAGACATATACAAAGAAAATGGTAGGATGAATAAAAGACAGGAAGTCGTGCGAGTAATTTTCAACACATAGGGGCATAATTCCAATCGACACTTAGATAGAAAAGACTGTAAAGAAAATAAAGAAAAAGGGAAAGACGACGCTAGAAAATCATGCGTCACCTGCACATCGTAACTTGTGGATGACATTTTCTTTTCGCTTTTTTTTTATCATGGTATATATATATATTAAATAGTAACTGATTTTTAACCTTAAGCCAACAAACACCAGAGCCCGTCATCATCATCATCATCATTATCATCATTTTATATTGTTATTCTTCTTGCCATCTTTTTGGATTCTGTCGAACAAATTATTGTGTGTCACCAAAGGGATATATGTGCTCTGTACAATATGGTGTGCGAGTGCGTATAGGAAAGCAGTAAAGTATTGTCAATCAAATACATTTATGTGTGATATAAAGAGAAACAGTCAGTTAGAATTATAGCTAAGATTGCTACTTAGAGTGTTGTATTTTCTCATTGCGATGTGTCTAACTGTATATACCATACTATAAAATAACAACAACGACATCATCATCATCATCAGCAGCAGCAACATATAGATGGGAAAGAGAAGCAAAACACGGGAATGTATATATAAAGAATATGGACAAATGATAGAGATTAATTATCTATTAGAATCGAATAACACAAAAGCTGAAATAAAACTTTATTGGTGAGACAGTCTTATGTTTTTTTTTCTCTCTCTCTCTATCTTTATTTCTTTCAACATTACTATTATCTTATAACAAACATAGAAAACGACAGCGCGCGCTAAACAGCTGTGCTTTCAATAAGTTGATGAACAAAAGAAACCGCATTTACACGCTCTACATAGAAGAAATATCGTCATCATCTAGGTTTACATTGGAAGAGTGATATTGGACGTGTATAACAGTATGAGTAGAACTTCTCTAATCGACACGTTGCACTACGCATGCAGTTACTAATGATGTGATATTAGAGGGAATTGTTTGATTATATAGCGTGTGATAAAAGATGCGTTACATTTATTCGGCAACGAGTTGATATCATCATCAATTTCTCCCACTCATTTTCTCTTCTCATTCAAGCTGTTGCCACTGATGCTCATCTCCGTGTTTTTTTTATCTATTTGTCCTCTAAATATACACAAAAAATCCAATTCTTTTTTTTTTTGCCTCCTATTGTGATTGTCATCAAACAAGCTTGTTGACAATTACATACGCGTATTTATGCGTTTGTTTGTGATAAATGAAAAAAAGCTCGACGACCAGTTCTTTGCAATCATAGATCTCGATGATGCGAACAACAGCAACATCAACCTTGTGATCATTATCGTCCTACCATTTATATACATACATATATTTATATATATGTATATGATATATATATATATATATATATACATAGATCTATAAATGCGCTCCCTCTCATTTTTTTTTTCACTCGACCAAAAAAAAACCTTGATATTATTTGTCGATTTATAGATTGATCAACAAAACGAATCGGTAGAAGTGCTATATGATCAGCAAGATCAAAAACACGTTTTAACGTGCTAAAAAAACGATGAAGTTCTATCGATTTATATCGTTGACGTATGGCATTTCTCTTATTGAAAGGCATTCCGAGTCTTGCTGGTCAAAATCAGGCGCCTCAAGCTGATCCAGATGATTTTGTTGATCGTCTAAACTATCGTTATACAGTTATATTACTTAATGTTTTTTCAGCTATTGTTACAAATAGACAATTCAGTTCAAAACAAATTCAATGTAAAGAAAAAAAATTTCATTTTATTTTTATTTTCTAATTGAAATCTCTATCTATTTAGGTTGGGTACCAGCAATGTTTACATCAGGTTATGAAGATTATACGAATCATATATGTTATATTACTAATACGTATTATGTAAATCAAACGCAAAAAATTCCCTCGACACGTACTGAACGACAGAGTTTACAATTACTTTATTATCAATGGATCCCATTTATTCTTTGTTTCCTAAGGTATTAAACTAAAAATAAAATATTAATAATTAAAATTTCATATCATTGTTTTGTTTTGTTTTAAAGTATTCTTTTCTACATTCCAAATCTTGTTTGGCAATCATTAATGACTCGTAGTGGTTTGGATTTAAAAGATATAATTGAAGCTGGTAAAAGTTATAAATCAATTGATAGAATGGATAAAAGACGTAAAATAATGGATTATATTATTGCATCTATTGATGAATTTATTGATGATCCAAGACGTGGACGAGAAAATCGAAATTTAAGTTTAATTCGACGTATACAAGCTGTTTTTTGTTGTATGTATGGAAAATTTCAAGGAAATTATTTTATGATGGTTTATTTATTAACAAAAGTTCTTTATGTTGTTAATTCAATTGGACAATTAGCATTATTTAATGAAATGCTTGGTATTAAATATTATCGTTATGGTTTAGAATTATTACAAAAATTAATGTTACTTATACAAAATCAACCATTACAACAATCTTATCGACAACAAGGTGGTCTTTCAAAATATTTTCCTAAAGTAACTTTATGCGATTTTGAGTAAGTCATCAAGGAAATTTTTTTTTTTTGTTTTTTTCTATTAAATTTATTTTGTTTATTATCTATATAGAGTACGTGAACCAAATCATCTATATAATTCTCACCGATATACAGTTGAATGTGTATTACCAAATAATTTATTATTTGAACAATTATTTACATTTTTATTTTTTTGGTATACAATGATAGTTATATTAAATTTAATATCATTATTTACATGGTCATATTCATTTATTCGTCCCGTACGAATAAAATATGTAACAACAAGATTAAAATTAATTTTAATAAGAAATTTAAGAAAAACTATATTAACAAATGAAATTAATACTAATCGACAATCACAACAATTAATAAGTAATGATTCACTATTACATCGTGATGATTCACATTCAGATTTTGCAAGAAATTATTTAAAATGTGATGGAATATTTGTTTTACGTTTATTAGAAACTAATACATCAGATTTTGTTGTAACACATGTTATTGAAGAATTATTTCATTCATATGAAAAAAAAGCATCACAACCAGTTGTTCTTGAAGGTCTTGCAAAAATGATGTCAACACTTGGTCCTGATCAAGGTTTATTAAGTTTAGGAAAATTACTTTTTTTACCTGTTATGTCTGATCCTAAAATTGCTGCTACATTTGGTGGTGGATTTACTACAACTGATAATAATAATAAAATGCTTCTACCTAGTTTAACTACAACAACAGATGATCCTCTACGTAATGCACCTAAATTACTTATACCACCAACTCCAACACGTCGACGTTCATCAATTGTTACTACAATATCACAACGATCACCTACAGGTTCAATTGTTGAACAACTTGATGCAATTAGACGAACTTCATTATTATCATTATCTTCTCCAACAAGACCTAGTGTTGATGAAATAACTGAAATATTACGAGAACGTCGACAAAGGATTAAAGGAAAGAAATGATAATAGTTATAGTCATTCTTTCTATAGATGTGTGTGTGTGTATGCGTGTGCGTGTGTGTGTTTGTTTTCATAGTGAAAGAGAAAGTTATTTTCTAGATGAAATGTCAACTAAAAAAAAAGAAAACATTCTTTCTATTAATTATCATTATTCGTTGAGCATTACTTGGTGTATCAAGAAATATAGATAACCTTGATGGCTATATATTTAATTAATTTAATTAGATGATAAAACATTACCTAAGCTGTTCTTTAGTTTGTTCGATTGTACGTGATAATAAAGTAATGGCACCTTGTATAGCTGATATTTCCATAATTAAATCTTTTTGAACATCATCATGAACTAAATCAATATCATAACGTTTTTCTCTAAAGAAAATAAAAAAAAAAACAAAAATTGATTTTGTGTATATTGTGTTTCTTTTTTTTTTGTGTCTGATTAATCTACCGATTAGCTAATGTTGTTTGAGTAATATGTAAATTATCTTGAAGTGATTGAAGACGTTTTTCAGTTCGTACTAGATAAGTTTCTGTAGCATCAATTTCTTTTTCTAATTCACTTCGTTTTACTTCAAGTTCACCTTTCCAATTTTGTATATGATCCAAACGTTGATCTATATTAAAAGAAAATTTTTATTTACAAAAAAAAAAAAAAAAAAAAAAAAAAAAAAAATTTATTTATCTCTAATGTCCTTCATGTCATCTGATGCAAGAAGTCGACTTATTCGAAAAAGAAAAGGTCAAATTATTAACAAAACATTTTATCAATAAATTAAAAACATTTTAGCTACTAATGTCTAATAAATATATTCTGACGCCTTTGTATCCTTCAAATCGATATAATCATTATATCTATAAGAAGCTATTTTAAACATTTGTTCGAAGAAATAATGAACTCTGAAATCTTCCTCAGGCTTTTCTTTTTTTTCTGATTAATATTTCATTCATTATTAATAAGAATAAATAAAAAAAAAAGTGTATATTTGAAAGACTTTAGGCTTTGTATTTATTTCCGTTTCTGTTGAATGAGACCAGGCATTTTTTAATTAACTTCATCATAATAGGCATGTGGTAAAACCAAAACTGTTGGGCTTTTAGTTTCACAATTTAGACTGTGGCATTGCTTCTTTATTTAGAGTACTGATTATATAGTCTAATTCGATTAATAAATGTTTTGTAATAGCATTATGAAAAAGAAGTTACCATTACATCGCAGATAACTAGTAACATAAAACTTAGAAAGACCAATTATTTAAGCAACTTAAATAATGTACAATCTAATTAATTGTATTTAATCATTGATATGCATACGAAAGATTGATCAATATCATTTGATACATATACATTTTTTTGTTTTTTTCCACTGAAATCAATCA